CGAAACCCTTCAATTTCTTCCTCCTTCAGAGCTACAATCGCTCGATCCTCCGCCACTGCGTCCTCATCTCCATCCCGCTGCGGTTCCGCCAAAGTCTCCGATCGGATCGTCAAGCTCTTCGCCGTTGACCCGGACGGCCATAAACGTGAGATTATCGGACTCTCGGGTCAAACACTCCTCAAAGCCCTAACAAATCACGGGTTAATTGATCCGGATTCTCATCGCCTTGAAGATATCGACGCGTGCTCTTCCGAGTGTGAGGTGCACATTGCTCAGGAATGGCTCGAGAAGCTTCCAGAAGCTTCCTATGATGAACAGTATGTTCTCAAGAGGAATTCTAGGGCTAGGGTTTTGAACAAGCATTCGAGGCTCGGTTGTCAGGTGGTACTCTCACAAGAGCTTCAAGGAATGGTTGTGGCAATTCCTGAGGCTAAGCCATGGGATATTCCATAAAAGGTGAAATTAAATACTTTTCGAAGTCTATGAATTGGAATTTTATTGGTTTGAGTTAATATTATGTGGAACTTATGGACTTGATAAGCAATTTCTGTCAAAATTGTCTGAAACTTGTCAACTTTGTTCTTTTTTAGATGAATGCTGTCTTTGAACTGGAAATTTAGTGCTTTGAGTTAATAATTGTGGAACTTTATGGCACTTGAGAGGCAATTTGTGTCAGAATTGTCTGAAAGTTGACAGCTTTGTTCTGTCATATGAGTGCTACTGGAATTTTAGTGGTATGAGTTAACAATATGTGGAACTTAAGGACATTGAAAGGCAAATTTCTGTCGAAATTGTCTGAAAGTTGAGAACTTTGTTCATTTTAAATTAATGCATGAATATCTTTCTTGGTTTATGAACTAGAAGTTTTAGTGCTTTGAATTAATAATATGTGGAACGTATGGTACTTGATTGGAAATTTCTAAAACTCTTTGAAAGTTTACGACTTCTGTTCGTTTTAAACGAATACTTTCCCGTTTCCTGTATGAGTTTTCTCTAATATGAGGATAAGTTAATTTACTGGTAAAAGAATGAAATTGGTTTGATAGAGCGGAATGTGTATACAAGATTCATATAGCTGATGCCAACTAACTAATTAGTGATTAAGGCATAGTTGTGCTGCTGGATGTGCCTATAACTATTTATAATCTATCCTCTATTCATTGTCTATTACCATAGTATGTGCTCATTTAGCCATATGTTCATTGCATAATTCTCTATTTAATGAATATTGGCATCTCCTCCCAAGTCCTTTTTTGCTCGTACTTATGTCTATCTACCTTTGATATGCTTCTTATTACCAGCCTCCTTTTCATTGTGCCACCTCTGAAAGGCACTCAGACTTACTTGGAAGTACGTAAACTTTATAGTTCATCAAGAAACTAGGTCAAGAAGTTAAAGTGTGCAACAAAGTCTGTTGCCTGCAATTGTAATTTCCGCATACGCTTGAGAGAAAAGCTTGAACTAGCAAATTCAATTACAGAAGCCAGAAAGACTTCAAAGTTCCAGCATACTTACCTTTTCTCAAAAGAAAAGAGAGACTCAAAAGTTCCACCTTTTAGTGTTCATTAATGATTCACCTAAAGCTCTTTAGTAGTGATTGATACGTAACGAATGAGGTGATAACATTGAGTTCAATATAGTTCCTAGCAAATGTCTTAGGGCTTAGGGATTATCAGTCTAATGTTTTTGAACTTCTGTTGAGATGTACATCAGTACATCTCCCCAGAAAAATTGTGTTAGTAGTTCTGATCAAAATCTTGTCGAGAAGTAACTGTAAGACCTTCAAGTTCCATTATTACCAATATTAATTTAAGTCGAGTTCTTGGTTGTTCCGTCCAAGAGCCATCACGGGAGACGTAATGATGGCTCTTGGACGGAAGAAAAGTAGAGTTTCTCCTTTGATGGTACTTTCCATGTGCTACTGCTCCTTGTGTGTAGACACCCAATAACGTCTCTCCCTCTTCCAAATCTTTTTCTTTCAGGCTCCTATAATTACACAAATTTACTTTATTAGTAAGATTTTATCTACTGTATTCTTCGTATTTTTACTAGAATTACTATAGTATTTTATTGTCATTATTTTGATTATAAGTATTTTATTTTACTACCATAATATCATTCTTAAGACTTTATGTTTATATATTATTCAGCTGTTTTTTTGATACTATAATCACTAGTATTTTCACTATTATGGTTATTTTACCATTACCATATATTTTGGTATCATTTACAACCCTACCACTATTTTAATTTTACTACAATTGAGTATTACTATGTTATTGAAATAATAAAGTTAAATAATTATTGATGTACTGTCATTTGAAACATTTGTTATACTTATCAAATACAATACTATATTTAATTAAGTTTTCTTGTTTGTAAAAGCCCAAAGAAAATAGAAGTCCAATCTGGTCAAGCCCAGACAAAATTGCCACGGATTTAACAAATTCATATGAAATCAGCATTTAATGCTTTATTTCCCAAATCCCATGAAATCCTCTCCGGGTTGTAAAAATGTTGATGTCATTACGGCTATATTACTGTTTCCAGCTATGAAACCACTCAACCCCATCCTTGAAGTGGCTTCTATAAAGCCTCTATGAAGAGCAAGGGATCATCGGAAAATGCTTCACTGATCGGGAAACTTTCCTGGCAACCTTGTTTATCGCAATCCTCCTCTCTTTTCACTGTCTCAAAACCCTCACTAAAAAGAAACCTTCGGTTTCGTGAAATCCGTTTGTGTAGCTTCTATTTTCAAATGAAAGATTTATCTTCGACAACTTTCTATTTCTGTTCTATCATGATATATTCTACAAAGTTGATATGACTTTTGATGGTGTTGAATGGGACCATCGTCTTGATTGGAATATTTTTGAAAAAAAAAATTCACAAAGGATAAACTTCTTGATCATTGCCATTCTTAGACAAGCTTCTGGAGGCTAGTACTTGGGGAGAACCCTCTGAAGAAGCAGAAGCATCATTGGCTTTTTGTTGTACTTCCCCATCAAAAAATTTATCCTTCGTGGATTTTCAGCAAAAAAATCCAATCGAGGCGGTGGTCTCATTCAACACCATCAAAACTTGTATCAACTTTGTAGAATATATCATGATAATCCATCAATTTGTGACGGTGTTGATCAAGAATCTTGAAGATTCTACAGAAAATGAAAGCTGTCGTAGATAAATCTTTCACAAAAATTTAAGCTACATGAGCAGATTTCACGAAGACACACAGATAGGAAATAAGAAGCATAGCTTTATATGAGAAATGATTCTTCGATACAAAATAAAAAGATAGGAGATGGAGGTGAGTTGTTCTCTGAAGGTATGGGCTGTTTGAGCAATGGCCAAGTGTAGATGATAGATATAAATATGCAGAGTCACTGTTTATGAAGTCCATCTCTAGTAGGAAATCAGCCTGGTACTAAAGTCATAACAACCACTAGCTTCGTGGCAGCTCCATTCTTTTATAAGATTCTTTTCCTGTGCAAATAAAAGTCTGCTGCTGTGTTTGCAGGTTACATTACCCCCTCCTTCTCAAAGTTTGATTCTACTTTTGCAATACGCCAATACCATGAATTGGGAAATAAATAGGTCAGCTTGGGTGGATTTGTCAACTCAATGATCCACTCCATCCTATGACACAAGCTTGCAAGAAAGACTTGTACTGGGACATCTCATCAACCATTTTAGCATAGCAACTTATAATATGCTATCAAATTTTTCATTGAGTTTCCTATTTGCTTGGGATCTTGTTCTGGTGCTTATCTATTTCAGTATTCTACTTTCTGTTTTCCGAATACTTGGAGCAAAAGCACTCTATCCAAAACCAATCATGTTTTTTAGGCAATATCTTTGTTTTCAAGAGCAATGAGATTTCATTTCATGTAGACTCGTGCATTAGATCTTTAGTTTCGTAATCTTGGAGGGGACACAGTTTGATACATTCTTATTCTTCTCTATCTCCAACAAAAATTATTGTGGAATAGTCCAGTGGTCAGTAGGTTGATATGAACTCCAGTTGTCCGTTGCTGTTTAGTTGGGTAACCCCCCCCC